CGGCATCCTGAAAATGCACGTTGACCGTCATGCTATCAGCCAATTGCAGCGCTGCAGCTTGGATGGAAGATAGCTGGCCCTCCCCCTCCCCGCTGATACTCGCAGTGACAGCACCGACACGAGCGAGCTGTTCAGTGGTCAGGCCAGCCGCCCGAGCAACCGGCTCGTGCTGGACCCATTCGAACGACGCCTTGTTCCGAGCGGCGACTCGCAGGATCTACATATGCCCGCGCTTGTGAGTAAGTCGGCTGCGCTGGAGGAGGACCGGTATTCCCCACTTACTATGATCTCCCTGAGGTCGTCCTCCAGCGTACTCTTTGTCCGAATCGCCCCAAGCAGCTTCGACCATCCCTCCGCGATAGGTGGCGCATTAAGAAGCATGGTATCCAAAGGAGAAAGACCCCTTCCACCCCGCCTAACACGGATCTCGTCCGCGATGGGTCCCGGAGTGTCTTCGGGTACGTATGGAACGCGCGGCATCGAGTGCTGTGTTCGCTCAGTCACTGCGTGCACTGGAAGGTGGTAGCGCGAAGTCCGGAGGCTGACTGAGTGACAGTACTTGTGAAGGTCAGTAAGGGTCATGTGGGCACCACGCCGCGGAAAGGCGCGTGAAAGCCGGTTGCATTAAGCTGAGGCTGGCGTGCCTTGTTCCCGCCAAGGTGTCGCCTTCCTTCCAAAGAGAACCAAATTGAACCATATACACGAAACAGACAAGATGACAGCAAACCACAGGTCGCGCAACAGACACACACGAACGCAATGCCCGCCTCCTTTGTACTTGAAATCTCCATGCATGATGTGTGCTAGAGCGAGCTATTCGTCGCACGTACAAACGTCCGCTCCCGCAGTGCCGCCGAGTCCGGGCCAGCATCGAGCACGACGTCGCACTCCGATCCGCTCACGTCCGTGTCCACCCACCCCTCGCCTTCGCTCCCTTCGCCGCTCAGCGCGGCCGGCCGTAGTAACGGCGAGGACAGATTGACAATGAGAGGACGCAGCGGAGACGGATGCCTGACCATCGGAGCCTTGCCCTTGCCCTTCCTCACCGTCTCCGACCTCTCAATAAGAGGTGGGGCGAGCAGTACGTTCACATCAGAGCCTTCCGCATCTGCGCCTGGAGTGGCATCCGTCGATGGAATTGGCGTAGCCTCCCCATCCGCCGCCTGCCCTCTCGGCGAAGCCGAAGCCGTCTTGACTTCGTGCAAGTGCGCGCTCCTCGCCCACCGTTTCGCCGACTTCGGCACCGGCCCAACGCCTCCAAAGCCATGCGTCATGCTGCCCGAGTTCGAGCGCTGAATTCCCGGGCGGACCCCGCTAAGAAACCCAGGAGAGGCGGGCACACGGTGGTGAGCAAAGTGGCGGTTGGTGGGAGTCCGGAGGGCGGTGGGCGTATGTGGGCGTACGCTGCTGCCCTTCCGACTGGACCCTGCCGCGTGAGACCGCCGAGGGCGTGACTGTTCGTCTCCTAGGCGTATACTTGGGAAGGCGATCTCGTTCTCTGTGGGCATCAGCCGAGCGTGAGTCGTTGTAGGTTTATGGAGGGTATCTGGTATCTCGCATCATACCTCCAGGCTTCTGATTGGACCCTGACACTGGTCGCGGAGGCGTCGAGCTCCGTGCGCGCAATCGATTGACCAGATCTCCGCTGAAGCTGAGGGTTCTTCGGCCCCAGTCGCGCACAGACGCACGGGTCCCAGGAGGGGGGGCGTACTCGCCTCTCGAACCCCGGGTAAGAGCCATGAAGATAAGGACTATCAAGAGAAGGCACAACTGTGCGATACCGAGGCGTTTCTCCAGAATGACCTGAGGACAAGTCAGCAGGCCGCATAGCCGGGATGACCGAAGGAGGGTGTCTTACCTCGTCGGTCAGGTAGTTGACTCGGTGGACAAGCTCGCGCTGCTCGTCTTCTAGCCGCCGGGTCTGCTTCTCGAGCTCGACGACAGAACGCTGATACAATTGAGCTTGCGCTTTGCCCTTATGTTGTTGTTAGGAACGATGATGATCAAGCACATGAGCGACAACTCACAATGCCCTCTAGACGGCCGAGATCCTCGGTCAGCCGCCTCAGGACATCCCGCATCCCAGTGGTCTGCTCCTCAACGTATCGCGTATAGAGCGTAGTTTTCGCTTCCAGCGCAGTGAGCCGGTTCATGATAGTCCGGTAGATAGACTCTCCTCCCGTCGAAACAGGAGCAGGAGGAGGAATATAAGACGGAGACAGCGTAGCAAGGGAAGAAGACCCGTCTGTCGTTACGACAGATGACCGAGAAGATGCGGATGATGAGGAAGAAGAGGATGAGGTAGAATGCGAGGCCGAGCCCGAGTCCGTGAGGTCAATGAATATGGATGTTGTTGCCGATGAGTGGTTGTCAGAAGCCGTTGAGTGAGCGTGCGTCGAAGTCGATGTTGAGGATAATGATACAGGCGTATGGTACACGGGGTCGGAGCTGAGTCGTGATGATTCATGGGAAACGTCTTGGTGCTCTGTATTTGGAGACGATGAAGCGTCTGCTTGTTGCGGTGAGATAACGTCCGTAGCGAAAGATGGTTTAGTGAGGATGTGCTGGAGAGAGCTGGGGATGTTCGCGGTAACAGGTATGTGTCCAGCCGGCGATACGGTGACCGCCGTTCTTTCACCGGCAGCGGCGTCGGAGGGCGGCGCAACGTGACTGACGTTCTCGGCAGCGGACTCGGGAAGCGGGACGTGTACAGGCTTGGGAGGCTCCGCGACGACCTCGACAAGAGGACTCGCCTCTTCCACTGACCGCTTCGCGCGGCTCTCCGCCTCCCACGTCTCCCACTGCCACTCCTCAAGCTGGGTCAGACCGTACACTCGCAGGAGGGAGAGCGGGCAGTAGTACTCGCTCCCATAGTGCGAGTGGAAGTCGATCCGGATTACGCGGTAAAAGTCGCGCAGCGTAGCAGGAGGGTGGAAAGACTTCGGCACATTTCAGCTCAATTCTTCATTACGATCTGGCGAATACACTCACCTGCACGCCTCGCACGTTCTTCGCGCGGTACGTCCCCGCCGGCACCCACTCTTTCGGGTCGGTCGTGTACTGCTTCGCGACGCTCACCGAGAAGTCCTTGAACACCCCGCTGAAGAACTCGTAGTTCGCGAGCTGCACGGTGTCGATCCGGATGTCGTCGCACAGCTCCACGATCACGAACTGCCTCTTCTCCTCGCAGGGGCTGAGCATATACCTGTCCTTCTTCGACGACAGGATGGACGACGCGGACTTTGAGGACTTGTGCGCGGCGTGCACGCGCGCGGAGCAGTCCAGCGAGGCGTAGTTGAACCGGTCCGTGAGGGGGATGCGCATCTGCGGCGCGACACGTTCCTGGGGTGAACCATGCTCCTGCACGTCGACCTGCACGGGCTGCTGCGTCTGCGTGGAGGAGGGATGCGACGAGTCTGGAGGGACGACAGCCGTGGAGTCGGAGAGATTTTCTGGAGGCCTGTGCACAGGGGGCGGATGGACCTGTTCCCCTAGCTGCTTCGCTTTCCAATCCTCAAATGAGAGCAAGGTGTCCTCTTCGGCTGGAGGCTCGAGGGGCGGCAAGGGTCTGAGACAGCATACCGGCTCTTCAGGCGGCTTGGGCGCGTGAACAGCTAGAGCGTGGAAGGCGTCATTAGGAGTCTGCGGCGCCGCGAAAGCTGGAGCGGCGTAGAGGAGTGCAAGCAGGGACGTCGGAAGCAACGAGAACATGGCCCTTCTCGCTGTCTTCGCCGACGGCCGCCACGTCGTAGTCGGTGAGCAGTGTGTGCGGCGATGAGCGGGTCATTGTCTATATGAATTGCTCCCAAGTTATCTTATCGGTTAAATAGGCGCTCATAGCCACGTCAGTTGCGACATTCTTGGAACGGCCGGGCAGTGTGCCGTTCCACACATTTCACAGGCAAATGCAGGAGTATTCTCCACGCAGACTGGCCGGAACGAGATATGGTATTATATGTACCGTACAGCACATGAACGTAGAACTGGGAAAGCAACTGGCATTGCTGAGAGAGTGTGTGGACAGCGCTGGATATTGTCCATGAGTAGGAGAAAGCTCATCGTGCCTCTTTCCATCGCTACATCCTCGGGAGGGCGGAGAGTATCGTGTCATTCATGCAGAGCACTATGCGACGTGTGAGAAGAGTTCCCGAGATCGACAGGACCGAGAGTACGTACCACACCGGTGACGTCACCCGCACGCGAGTTCATGATGAGGGCAACAATGAGACCGTACAGGCCCAAGACTTCGGCGAAAATGAGAATGAGGATCTGCATAACCCGTCAGTCTATACGCAAGCTCAATATGGCTATAACGCCAATCTAGACGGCGTGGAGACCAGCGAGACACGCCGCGATGAGCTTCGCCAATGCTACGTATAACGTTTTCTGCCGCGCCCGCTAGCCCCCGCGCCGCCCTCGACCGAACACCCCTGACGAAGCCACATAACAGCACTCACCATGCCGACGAAGAGCCTGGGCTGCTGCGCCGTACCGCGGACACCAGCATCACCGACAATACCGATAGCGAAACCAGCAGCAAGACCCGCGAGGCCGACGGACAGACCGGCACCGAGCTGGACGAAACCCTGGAACAGGGTCATCTCCATTGACACTGTAACGCGCACCGTTCAGCGTTTCCATGGTTTCCCAAAGCTGTGTTCGAGGTTACTTACAGTTACCGGAAATGAGCACAGACACGACGAGACCGTAGATCTGCGCGACCGCTTATGAGCGCCATTACAGGCAAGGCCGGTCGACAGCGTCGAGAGCACTCACGGCGATGATACCAGCCATGATGACCGGGATGACACACTTCATCATGAGGTCAGGCCGGAGGACGGACATGGCTGAAATGCCAACTCCTGACTTCGCGGTACCATAACTGACATGCACAAATAATGGTCAATACTAAACACACTCTCCATAGTCGTAGCACGTCCACCTCACCTAGCACCAATGCCTGAGATCGTGGTCAGCTGGATCGTTCGGACAGGCAATGACGCAAGATCAACTCACAGGTGAAGACAATTGCGCTGGTACAGCCCTACAAACACCGTTCGTCATGAGCCCAACTCAGAACAACGGCAGATGCTCTGGCTGCGTACCATGGCACCAAAGAAGGGCGCGTAGACGGGGCACAGTTCAGACATGGTGAACGTGGTCGGAGACAGGAGTTGGACTGAGTGAGGAACAGCAAAGTCGCTGAGGACGTGGACGTTTACGTTGGGCCCCCGAACGGCGACCGCCAAGCTGCCCGAAGCGGCTCTTGCCGGTCGGTGAGCGAACTAATTGGACCTCCGCCGCCGCCCGCACGGGCCCGGCGCAGGATACGGGCACAAGGTGGGGCCGACGTTCTCTGGCGTCCTTCATCACCTTCTGCCACTACTAGTACTCACGGTCCTTCGAGCTTGGGCTCGATTTGAGCCACCTTCTTGCGAGTTAGCGGCTCACGGCGCTGAAAAGGGTCGCGATGGATTGGCCTTGGTACACCAAACGTATTTGGAGACTTCGCATTCCGCGGGTCGCCGCCGCCCCTTGGCAATTCAGTTGCAATCCAGTTATTTGGACTTCTGCTTTTCTTCCTGCTGGGTCGTTCTACTTGTGTGGCGAATCTAGAAATTGTCATACCTTGCGCTCCCAGGAAGCGCATATTAGTCGCGATGCATAGCCTCTTTGGGCCCGAATTGTTCGAATGCGACAGCATCTGTACGTCTGTCTTTCTGGTCCCTGAGACCACCACATCTTATGCGTATGCTGGACTCATGACATTCGCACAATAACGGACATCACATAGCCCCGATGAAAGCCCCGCAGACGGCGCGAAACGGACCACACCAAGCGTCCGACTTGCGTCGGAGGTTAGGAACATTTCCACGGCGATCGTTCCACGCCTTGCCATGCCTGGCGGACGGCTCCCCGGCCACGCTGGTCTTGGTAGACACCCTTGTTCCAGTATGCGCATTCAATGCTTACGACAGGAGCACGAATCCGGGGTTCGACCCAAGCCGCGTCCTCGGGCGATCTGGATCTCACCGATGCCGCAGCTCATCCCACTGTTATGGATCTTCTCGCCGCCGGTTCTATGTCCTCCAGCTTGATAGATATGACTTCTGCTTGTCTTCTGACTCTCGGACTCTTGGACACGTCCAAGGATGATATCGAGCATAGCCGCCTTTCCTCTAGGTGGCTACGGCCTTCACTCTGTCGTCCCTTTCTTGTGATATCTGGGCTGCTGCATCTCTAATCATGGTGGCCTCATGTCGCATCCTTGACATGTAGCTTGCATAAATTAAAGCACTGGAGAACGAGTTGGGTACTGTGCGTGCTCTTGACGTGCAGCGAGAGGTTTTCTTGGTCACCTGTACCCGGAATCGGCGACACTTCTGTGCTGCGCGCGTGACTGGAGCGCCGACGCACAGCATCACTTTTGGATGCGGGTACACTAGGAGGCATTTAAGCGTCGCCTGCAAAGTACTCTCTTCCTCCACTTCCCCTCAAAGACTCGATCCCTGTTGACCGTTGACGACGGCGCGAGTTACCTATCACGCGCATAACCCTCGTCTATCTTCAGCCTGCCCATACATCGTCCGTTTGAGTGGGTACTTCCTTGGTGATCCTCGTCGCGTTTCCTTATGCCATCGCCCCCTGTTGCCGTTGCAGCCATGCCGACGTCGTCGTCCACGCCTACACCAAGCTTATCTGAGGGGAACCGGGGGCATCTCTCGCCCAAGCTGACGGTCACCCTGGTGGGGTCACTGCGTACGTACCGTTGCTTCTCGCACTATCCCGTGCGCGAGCTCATCTGCTGCTTCCGATCGTATCTTCTCGCGATCGCCAGTCCTCTTCTTCTTCCTTGTTATAGGCTTCCGCCTCGTCGCGCGCAAGGCCTGCTGTGCTTCCTCCGCGTCCGGCTCGAACACATCCCTCCCCACCCACTTCCACGATTGCCACCACCGTCGTGTCTACCCGCCTGCCGCGCGCAGCAAGGTCGCCTACCCCGTTGCGTCCGTCTACGACAAGTGCCCGGAGTGCTTGAGGATGTCCAACAAGGCCACTCCGGCTTCTCCACGCGCCTCGCTCTCGTCGCTCCCGCCACCACCTCCCCCGTACGCTGCGCAGTCGCCTACCGCCATGCCTCGCGTACGCCCGACGTCATGGCTTCCCCGGCCCGGTTCATCTTCGTCGGCATTCACCGAGCTCGACGTCCGCACTTCGGCCCCCCTTGCTGCCCCCTCCACCACTGTGCCTACCACCGCCTCCCCCTCGTCGCCGCCTCCTGCGTACATCGCATCCCGTGGCCCGACCGCAAGTCTCACCCGGTACTACCGCCGCTCCTAGATCATCATCGTTCTAGTCGTCTTTGCATCATCCGCCGTGGGGTCGTCGTGCAGGCGCACGATTTCCCTTATCCTTCGTTCATGTCTCGCATTCGGATCAGCCTGATTGGGCAATGTCAACATTTACTATCGCACGCTGTCGTTATTGCTTTGCTTTCCTGCCACCTCCTCTTTTGCTATCGAGTAACTGCTGAACATCTGTTGTGCAACCAATGTACATGCCTGTCCTTGCTGTACGTCGCGTATCGGTCAACATCCAATGTAACACGCGACACACCTCTCATGACACGTTACGTCGTAGTCGACTGGCCGCAGAGAGTGCGTAATCTGCCCACAATCTGCCCCTGGGGCTGGCGTGGCAGATGTCAAATAAAATTGCGCGCGCGCAAGGTTATCACAGTGTCCCTGGTAGCGCCGAAATCCCTTCCTGTCGCTTTCGAAGCTCGAGCCCTAATAGTCCATGCATTAACGTTCCCCTAGCTGCGTGCTAAACGCGGCGATAACGATACTACGTAGGTCCGAGCCGCTCAGGCATGATCCCGCGTCCCCTCTCGTCATCCGAATCGGAGATCTACCGCAGGCCCGTTAAAGTCAGACGTCTTCCTTCTCTCTCGCCTCGGGCCTTGAGGCTTGCGCACAATAGACCAAGGCACGCGCAGTTCAGTAAGCCTAGGACGCCCGTCGGGGTGGAGCGTCCGAACGTGCTCGTCCGATGTGTGAGGACGAATATGCAGACACCTTGACGACGGTTACTAGCTTAGCTGGGCTAAGAGGATGCCAAGGGATGAGGCACTTCCGCCTCGGACCTTCGGCCGTGCTACGAACTAGGTTTGTGCGAGTCAAGGCCAGCAGCTGAGCGTCCGATCGTATGTGGCGACCAAAACAGACTACACAGTTGCCTACTCGGTAGACCTCTTGGGACTTGCCGGTGCGGTGGCTGCAAACCGCCCAGCGCAGATCCTCGAGAGCGGCGTTGACACGTGAACATGGAACGAGGAGATATTTGGGATGTGGGCCCCAGGACTCGGAGGCCGATGGAGTTCAAGATCGGAGACCCCTAGACTTTCTTAGGTTACATGCATCCGGGAAGGTATCCCAAGCATGCATTCGAATGCAGCAACAGTTCTCCCGTGAGGGCATGGAGCGGCCCGCCCAGTACAAGAGACTAGGGATGTAGTGGGCCAGCATGCTCGCGCTGAAGATTGAAGGAGATCAGTGGTCTCGCGCTTATATTTGCAGCCGTTAGGATATGTGGGAGGCGCAGTTTCGTTTCGGAACGGCACACAGCTTGTGGAAGCCTTTTGAGCCCCGTTGAGAAGATCTGCGAGCGATAGGAAAAGGATCACTGAACTTGCCGACTTTCCATTGTGACGCTCAGGTCAAACGCTTACGTGAGCACTGCCCCACCTTCCTCACCCTCTTCATGTTATCCGCGGACACTATCAGAGAGGTACGCTTGCACTGCAGTATGGGAAACGCAAGGGTCTTTGCGTTCAACGGGAAACCAAGGGCCAAATAGACTGCGAAATGAGGCCAGCGGCACAGGCAGAAGGGCGTGCTCGTGTAGTTACCGCGTCGCGCTGCAACTTTGTCACAGTCAGTGTATACTCAGGACGGGACGTACAATGGTCATTTCCTGCCATAAATCGCCGAGCGGACCCTTGGGAGCGCGACGGACGAAGTATACATTACAACGATGGCGATCTCGGGGCGTCTACTCGAGCGTTAGAAGATGAAACGCAGGGGGAGTTTTCTCGTCTGAGAGGCGGTGGTGTCTTGACATCACGAAGCAAATGAAGGTTCCGGGGTACTACTGACGGGTACCATATGCAAATGGATGCCTAGAGAGTCTGGCTAATGAGATGGATTTGGTAACAACGTGGCTCGGGATGACACGCGCTTCACTCGTTACGACCGCAAAAGCCGGCGGCTCACGGATGCAGGGTTGGCGTAGCCTGGAGGCGATTCTGCGCAGTAGTACAGCAAGGGAGGTGTGAATATCTGTCATGTGTGTCGGGTGTACTGATTTTACCTAGACTGCAAGAGCTGCCTAGGGTTTGGGGACAACTGCATTTCTTGAAACCTAGGAGGTTTTGTGCCACACCCACCAGTTCCAGATATCGCTGCGATGAACAGATGCTAGGAGGCTATCAGCCACCAACGCCTCATTTTCTGCCGACTGAAGTCAATATAGAAGACACAACTTACGGTGTTCTTGGATACCACATTAAACCACCCTTCACTGAGGCGCCGTTTTGGGTATGTATGTTGGTGTAGGACCGAAAGCAAGGGAAACACAGCCTCGCCGCGGCGATCAAAAGCACTAGCCGCCCGTCGGGTCAATGTGTAGATAAGCGCCCGTCGGCCTTGGCTGCGTGACGCATACAATCGCCACCTGGCGGCTAGCAGCGCTAGCTGCCGTTGGATCGAAACTGCCTGCTTTTGCTGCTTGAACAACAAGCTCTATCCTAATGGACCGGCTGCTGGAAGCGATTTCAAGTTTTGAGGGTCCTTCAAGTCCAAGTTGGCATACGACTCTCCGAAGACGTCCTCTGTATCCGAACAGGCCGGGCACGACAGCCGTCCCGCACGGGTGCCCCCGTTGACACGTCTTGTGCTTCCTAGCCTATACCCATAGCGGCGACAAGGACCGCCACCACAGATGTTGACATACTAGCAAGCGCTTTTAGGACGAACGTGGCCGATACTGGCGCCAGATCAGTGGATTTGGCCTTACCCATGTATCACGCGCGAGTGTACTCATCACGAGTGCTGATTCTACAGGGCTGTTCAGCTCTCAGCGCTATGTTCCCAAAGAATCTTTAGACCACGGTGCGTGCTGGACCTGACTCTCCGTGGGAGGCGCGATCACAATATCTACAGACCTTCAAGCGCCAGACAGAACCCCATCGAAGTCGCGCGAGCTTCTCATTTCCCCGTGGCCCATCGAACAATATGAAGACGAAAAATGCTGGTTTGCCTCGCCAAGTTGTGTCCCCGATTACTGCAATTCAAATGGGAGCCCAATACCGCCCGATCGGCGGAGTTTTCTCGCATTCCTGAGTGTTTGTTTCCAAATGGGGACTGATCATTCCAATCGAAGGGTACGTTTCTGACCAAATGCCCCGCATATGCTGGTTCGAGACTTCCCATTCTATGTTTCCATCTGCACTTTGTCGCATTTGACTGTTGGGACAGTAGCCCTGCGCCCTTATGCCGCTCCTCAGCCAGACCGTATTGCATCATCTGCTTCCCGTCTTGTGACAGCCATCGTACGGGCTGTATTTGAACCTAATCCGCCCTCTACGGCTTGACAGCACGATTCAACCAGGGATGCGCGTCTGGCTGGCGACCGGAACGGGCGCGAAGGGAAAACCTGCCTTTTCACCCCGTAATAGACAGACTTTTCCTTCATGCCGGCGCAGTGTATATCGTTAGTTCCACGCACAGGAGACCTGTGGCAATCTTTGCTCCTCGTGTCATAAGTTTTGATGACCCGCAATCCCACTCCAACCTAGCTTGGCTGACGTTGCACACGCACACGCAGGCCCCGACGTTCGACCGACGCAGAGGTGGGGCGCAAGCTTCCATACCTCTATGCTGCTAGCCCAGTGAGATCGCACCGCACACAAGAACAAAGGGTCCACACCTACTTCGTGTTTCCCGCACATGCTCAACAGTTTGTACCCGGACGCACATTTTGACATGAGTACGTCTGCCCTCCTGCTGGATCGGGCCGTTTTCTGACAGGTACTGCTCACATCAACCTTCGTGGAGGGTCTCTCCTGCACTCAGGCTTGATTGAACTTTCAATTTTGTCATATCTGGCGCCCGTGGTCCCTGATACCGATTCAGTATGAGTACTCGACTTCTCACGGAAGGACGGTGGTGGCAGGGTGCCCTACCTAGCTTGTACTACAGTGATTACGGGAGACGCGTGGTCGTGTTCTGCGCACAGAATGATTGCGCCCATCTCATGCTGCGGCAGTGGCAATAGGCACCTGTCACCAACGCACGCGCCGACCGCGGAGTGAAGCGGCACTCGAAGTTGTGTGCAATCCGTCTAAGCGCCTTCGCATATACGAGTCCCCAGACACCCATATCTTAACGCGATGAATCAATTACCAGGACCTCGAGGCATCACTCACGATCGTCTTCAGCGCTGCAACTACTTAAGTCTCCTTCGGAGTCATGTCGCGGCCCATCCCTCCCCCAGCAAGGGAGTCATCGCGCACCATCTTACCATCTTCGTGCTCGTCGCGCCATTCAACGAGCCCGCCATCCTCGGAAGCCACTTCTCCTACCTCCTAACTGCCGCAAACGGTGAGTCAACTCTCTCCGTCGTCTGCTGTTCCGTCCTGACCACATCATCTCCGATGCGCCCTGCTAGAGATCGTGATGGCCCCGCTGGCTTCAAATTCCCTTTCCAGCGATGCTCCGCAAGGACAGGCGAGCGGACTGTCCCAGGCCGAAATAGTGCGAATCGTTGTCGCCATTGGTGAGTGCCTGTAGGTCCTTGGGTGCTGCCACAAGCATTGATTATGATGGTTGTGCATCTCTCTGGGATCCCCCCCTCCCTCCCTTCCTTCCTCCCTCCTCCTCTCCCTCCCTGTCATCCAGTGCTGTTTGCAACGGTTCTTCTCGTCCTCTGGCTCTTCTGGAGCAGCAGGTACCGTTGCTGTGCCGAGCGCTGCAAGCATGCCACATCCCCCTCTGTGTCCAACGGAGCGGTCTCTCCGTGGCGAGTCACCCGCGGTGGCACAACACACCCCACGGCCTCTCTGCCCCGCTTTGCTCGCCATGCGGGAGACGTATTACACGACAATGCTTCTCTGGAAGAGGTTCGCTTCCCCGTAGCCTCGCGCCGCGCACAACCCACAGCCATGCTTGGCTCGCACAACCGTCGGAGCTCTGAGGCATCCTCCAACAGCCGCGTTGGACTGCTACGTTCCCCGAGCTCCTCGCCATCCTCGCCCAAGCCCGCTTTCCTCGGTAATCGTGTTACCGCTATGCTCAGGGCCTGAGGCTCCAACCCGCGCAGACTGTTGCGCTTTATGACGGCATGACACACGGTTTAAGACGACGCACGACTTCGGACACGGACTCATTCTCATCCATGCACCCCCACCCATCCACATTGCCTTCTCTGCATTGACTCTTGTCCCACCTGCTCTACCGCCGCAGTCGAATAATACCCTAATCTGTAATATATTCCTAACTTACAGTTCCGGCGGCATTGGAGGTGTGCCAGTATATTGTACTGTATCTCACGTTGCAAGCAGTAGTCTCCCCGCGATGTCACGATGTTGCAGCGTCTTACTCTCTGATCGCGTTCGGAGCTTGTGTGATCGACAATGCGGGGCTGTAACGTCTCTTCCGTATCGGTTGCTATCGGACCTCTGAGTTTGCTGCCTGCAGGCAAAGGCATGCCCTCCGAGAACATCGGAGGTTGCTGCGAGGAACGTACGGACCGACCCCGCCGAATTGCGGCATTCTCCATTTTTGGCAGATCGGCGGTCGTTCGTCAGTGCCACGTCGCTCCCACCCCGTACCTTGTCTCAACAGCGCAAGCACATGATGCGCTAGATCTCCTTCCTTGTCTGCTAGCTATAAATTCTCCTGAAGCTAGCTGATGTCCTACCCTGATGAGTTGTCGGATCCATTCCGGATAGTCACGGACATGCATATGTCCACCGACGCGAAGCGGAGATATAAGAGGCACTGTTCGGTGTGCAACGCCCTTGGGAGGGATCCACTCAGCGCTTGAGGCAAGTAAATGAATTTGATAGATGGTTGGTAAAGCGCCAGGGATATCTGATGCGGTGTTGTTCATAGAACTCTAATTGTCTGTGCGGTTGCTGGCTGACTGGCCTGCGGTTTATGTCAGAGACAACGCTGTTTGAGACCACGATTGTGCGTGCCTTGTATACTAGGCCGACGTGTTGCCACTCGGACATTAACCCCGTGCCTGGCTTCATTTGCGCAGTGGGGATCCTCGCGACTTCACGCTGGGCTAATATTCGGACGGGATATCTCGACGCCTGGTTCAGGCGAGGTATATGCATGTCCCGTACGTCGTCTTATGAAGGATACAAGGATCGGTGGTCTAGGTTCGCCCACTACCATCGTTGTGTCTCATCCGTTTGCCGTGCCTCATGAGGGCTAGGCGACTATATTCAAAGGGCATGCGTAGGCGCTTTTTAACGCATCGCATCGCACCGCCGCGTTGAGAGCCGCACTTGCACTGCAAGTGAGCGTACCTCTCTCTAGCAGGTCCAACTATCTGGATTATAGTGTTGGCGAGCAAACCTGGAGTAGCTTACGCGCACGGGTGATTCATACATTTGTGCGTGCTATCGATGTGAGTCCGGGTTACCTGCAGGATCTCGTACAGATGATGATGACATTTGTGATGTTGCGTGGGGACGCAGCCTTGGGTACCCTTCTCGCGTTGGCACGGAACGGCCTGTTGTTTCATATTTACCGGTTGCTGGAAGTTTAGACTCATAGTTCTCCTGTCTTCTGGTTCAGCGACTCGGCGGGGGTGCCCCAGCAGGTCACAGATCGACACCTTGATTATAGACTGCTCAACATGGACGGCAACTTCTGCAGCGGTGCGGCCTGTGGACACATGCCGAGTTACTACGTAGTTTTACGGCTTGCACTCTATGCATATACACTTCTTCGGGCGAGCAGGTGGCGGAACACACGAAGCTTCACATCAGTTGCTATATCCCACGTGTGACCTGATGTTTGTATTGACATGAATCCGATGATCTAAAGGATCTCTGCGCTGAGTAGGAAACCCGTGGCCGTGCTGCACTGATAATCATGCTGCGGTAGCTATAGGTATCCCACATGGGATCCTCATGCTATGCGCAAGGTCAGATATTTCGATAGTTCACTGCTAGTCGATCTTGACCGTGACTTTGTCCGCTCTCTCCCAGATCTCTGCAACGCTTTCGTAGTCACAAAGCCCTAGAGTGATCTCGAACAGAGAGAGAATGTTTGTTACGACTGTACCAACCTTTCCCCATGCCTGCGGTCAGCGACTCAATAGATCATACAAGCGCCAGGATATGAAGACAAACCAACAGTTCACGAATACGACTGGGCACGTTCTGGGACCCCATCGCGATTTCGCGGGAGATATCGGTCCTACTTATGATCTAGAAATTAGCGAGAAGTGTGACTTTGCCGCTCATGTGCGCCGTCGTGATTCTCGGCGGGAGATCAAATCGAGGGCCCAAGTAGTGGTATCGCACAGTCTATCTGGTGCCCTACGCAAGTCGACAATTTAGTACCTGCATCAATGGCGAGCTCGGCATTCTGTACGCGTGGCCAGTTCCTCGAAAATAGGTGTGATCATCGGGATATTCGGTGAGGATTTGTGTCGCACCTCCATACACAGGATGCCCTTGACAACTAGTAGTCCATCCCGATGTTACCGAATGAATGACAAATGTCCCATGTGCGGTACACGCTTTATGTGGGGTGCCCGATCCTTACATCGCCTGGTCGGAGTGGCTTCAGCGTCCTCCGGATACACTCGTTGAACCCTGCCGGATCACGTACTAGACGCATGAGCTCGTCGTCACATGGGACACTTCTCGGGGCCATACAGCTGCATGAAACTAAGTCTGTAAGGGCGATCTGTGCGCCATCAGCGTGCCGAACCTGAAGGTAGGCCGTGCCTATGCCATCACGTGGACGCCGTCCCAGCAACAGTGTCGACTGTGACCAACAGGGCACTGTATCCATTCTTCTTGGCATTGTTCATCAAAGCAAGAGTAATTTGCGACAGGAGTGACCTGTCAATCATCGGTACGGACATGGTATGGGGATGGGACGCGGCAGCGGCACATATATGACCAAAATAGTTGAAAATACCGGTATCCCGAGCTTTGTCGTTGAGCTTGATGGACACCGTAAGCTCGCCATCTGCATACACTATCCCTTGGACGTCAATGAGAGCAAGGAAGAATCGACGAACTTCACTCCAGAGATTATGGTCTGTCCACCGTCGACGGGTATCAGGATATTTTCCTTCCCTACGCGTCCGGATGCAAAAGCAATCGTACATACCTCGATACTCCTGAACGTGACGTCGCGGAGCTGCCGCTTATTCATTTTTCATGCATTCAGTCTTTACCGTTCGCGTGGGGCGTCTCGTCCGTTCCCGGAGACGTACAAGAACACATCTTGGTAGCACATCTTGAGCCCACAATGAGGAACGGAATGAACGTCACGTCAGTTGGGTACATGAAACGAGATATGCCTTGTCGATCCTTGCCAGTGAGCTCCTCACGGGCCGATCTTGAGGTCGGGCCTATAAGTGGCGAAAATCAACTGCGGTAGCATTCGCTCATGAGAACCGACCACGTTTTGTGCCTTGGCTTAACCTCACAAGCATGCTGATCGACGTGATCTCCCGTCCCGATTTGGACCATATTTGTCATAGTATACACTAACAGAAGAGCATGAGGTAGGAAGACCGCCACGCACCACCAAGTCGAATAGTACCACCTCATGATCGTGTGTCCTGGGGGATCTGACTTGCCCAACAACAGCCCAGCCAGTCCTGTCTGACAGCAGCACGTTGCATGAAACCAAGCAGAGCGAGGCAAATCAGTGTTCCCCTTCTCCACCAAGGAAGAAGACGTTCAAGCTTAGCAATTCCCCGCGAGACTTCGCGAAGAAGGCGAATGAGGAAGGCTGGGGCTAGGCTGCCCTCCTTGGGTGGCCCATGAACGACTGGACTTTGCTCGATGAGTCTCTAAGCCTTCAACTCCGATGCGTTGACCGTTGACGGACTAATAAATCCGTCAGACATTGCGGACACCCGGGGGGGTCTGCGATAAGATGTCTCCAGTACATTGTACAACATTGTTGAGAGCGTCGATAAATGAATTCTCCACTGTATCACTCCATCAGATGGGCAACATCATATTATGAACTGTGTAGGCTTCGTACCTTCCTACATAAAATCATCCATCATTTCCTGTACAGACTTTTGCGGCTCGATCTCGTCTTCATCAATGTCCAGGTTGTCGTAGGAGCGAGCAGCCTTCTCTGCCTCGCGTGCCCTTGCCAGGTCAGCATCGGCCTTCTTCTACTCATGACATGACATCAATCAGGATACGACGATACTCGAGTTGAGCGGGCATTCAACATCGGATTGCACAGAACACAGACCTTCTGTGCGGCAGCGGCCCGCTTTGCGGCATTCTCCTTCTTGATGCGGTCAACACGTTCTTGCTCGTGATCGACCTGTCGCTCGACCTTTGTCTTATTGAGCCGGTTGACTATAGCGTTCTCACGCTTCTCGACGTGTACTTCCCATAATATCAGGCGCATAACCTTCGCACTTAAACATAGCTACCTACTGCGCTTGACCTGGCGGGAGTAATGTTGGCCAATGCCACGCTATCGACAAAAAAGAGAGCTTACTCGCTTGTCGTTGTGGAATGAAACTTGACCGACGGCCATATCACCCGTTTTCTATACATTGGTCGTCTCTGTGAATACGAGTCGCAAGGAACGTAGTAGTATAATTGCCTTGAGATTGTCAGCTGGCGTGTAGATCACGGTCAAGTTATCCTTCTTGTTCCCTGATCGTATATTAGCATTAGTTCACGATGAACATACAGGAAGGAAGGACTCAGTATACCTTCAATGGAGTTCGCTTTCACAAGCTGAGCACAATCAATGAGAACCGACTCTGGGATCGCGTCCCATGTCATGCCCTCAGGCATTCGAATGTAGACGTGCGCCGAGGAGAGCTTGTCGACGTGGAACCATATGTCCTGTGGCCACGCGTACTTGATCAAGTCCTCGTCTGTATTGAACGTATACCATGCATAAGGTACAATGCACCATCTTGAACAGTCAAGTCACTGACTCTCGAACTTGTCCTTGCCCATGTAGATCGTCACGGGCGGGTCGTGGGCTGGGGTCGTTGGTAAAAAAAATCAGCATATCTGCTATATGCCTATATTCAATTACGCAAGTACCTGTGGAGGTAAAGAAGAGGACCATTGCATCGAACTTGCGCAAGTTTGGTGGTGCGACTGGATGGAGTCCGAACCTAGTCCCGAGGCGTGCGACGGAGAAAAGCGAAGATAGGTAAGCGCTGACGCAGCTCAGCAACCGGACATGCGGGCCGAGAAGCCTTTGCCTAATCCGGACGCATCGACTATGAAGGGCATCATTCGGCGCTTACATGCGTCGACCGCCCCGACCAATATTGTGATCTCCTTTGCATTTCATCCCTATCACTGCGCTGTGATTGCTTTCTGCTGCTATGGGTCGTATCACTTAAATGAAATCTCTAGTGTGCTCGCCCGAACGAGCCTCGCCCACGGCTGTCCTCCAAACCTAATCCCTATTGTTGTCCCAGACAATAAGACTTGAATCAAAAGGAGCTTCCGGCGCCCATATCAATCCCTTTCCTGCGCCTTCCACGCAGACCCTAAAGGATGGAATCCTTACCTTTGCCCTTCTACCCAGTGCTAGCTGCCGGTGTAGCGGCATGTGTCGCATACCTCTTCTACCTCGCCGTGCTTGAGCCGCAATGGAACCCACTACGGAGGCTCCCCGGGCCCCCAGTCCGCAGTTTCTTTGGGAATCATATGGGTCTTGTCCTTGAGTAAGTAGTTTTCTCTCTCTCCTCTATGTGCCATGTCCTCCATTCGGCATAGTCCTCGAACTCCTGCTGTGCAGCCTCCGAGGAACATGGGCGCCTATAGGGCCCGCGTGCGATCGTTTCGGGGTGGCCGCTCACCTGTCTATAGCCCATCCAGATCACCCAGAGTCCATGAAGCATTTGTAAAGCATTATGGACGCAACCTGCGCATTCGCGGTTTCCTGCCAGTATGTTATTCTGCTTTCTGGGTTCCGTCCTGCCTCATTCAAGCTCGACTTAGTGGGACCAACGTCTATTCACGCTCGACCCCGTCTCCCTTGCGCACATACTCAAACACTCGACTACTTACGAGAAGCCATGGCAATCGCGCGCTCTCATTTCGAGCCTCATAGGGGTCGGCATGCTCGCCGCCGAGGGCCACATGCACAAGCGCCAGCGCCGGGTATCAACGCCTGCGTTCTCAGTGCAGAACATGCGCGCATTAGTCCCTGTTACCTTCCAGAAAGGCGTCGAGCTGAGGGATAGGTGGCTGGCGCTCATTGCTGAAGTCCGGAGTGGGGCAGAAGCGGGGACACAGGGCGCGAGACTGGATGTGTGCCACTGGGTCTCTCGTGCTACGTTTGATGTTATCGGACTCGCAGGTGTGTGCTACACGCGCATTGTTGTGTGATTTCGGTATTGACGCTAACTCAGGCTTTGACTACGAATTCAACGCTATTCATGACGAGTCGAATGAGCTCTTCGCCGCATACAAGGAGATGTTTGAGATTGCTGTCTCCCAGCAAGGAGGAGGTCTTTGGGAGCTGGCCATCGTATATGCGCCAATTCTGGATAGATTTGCTGTCAGTGCTCATAAGCACGCTCACTTCTTGGCACTAACCCGTCGTTCGCAGCCCGGTCCACGCTATGCTGTTGTGAAGAAGTCTCAGGAGGTCATCAAAAGAGTCGCTGGTCGTCTCATTCAAGAGAAGAAGCGCAAGATCGAGGAAGCCGAGAAAGCCGGAAGTATCTACGGGGGCAAGGATCTCCTAAGCGCCCTTCGTGCGTGTTCTTCATATACGCTTGTAGATCAACAGTCTAATCTTAGTCCCTCAATATAGTACGCTCGAACGCTGCTGCTGATCTCCCGCCGGATCAGCGGATCTCGGATGAAGACATTCTGCACAACATCAACACGTTTATGTTCGCCGGCTCTGACACGAGCTCGCTCTCCGTCACCTGGATCCTCTACCTCCTCTCCGTCTACCCGGACGTGCAGACTCGACTCCGTGCCGAGCTTCTCTCTATCGCCCCTACAGTCCCCCTCGAGTCCCTCACGCAAGACGAGATTGCGTCGCTCTACACGAAGATCGCCGAGCTTCCATACCTCGAAAATATCATTCGCGAGACGCTCAGGCTTATCCCCCCGGTACACTCATCTATCCGTGTTGCGACGCAGGACGATGTCGTCCCGACGTCGACTCTGGTGAAGCTCAGCACTCCCGATGGGGGATACGAGGAGGCGGACAGCTTCTTGATGCCCAAGGGCAGCTGCGTGCACGTCCCGATCGAGGCGTTCAACCTCGATCGGGAGGTCTGGGGGCCTGACGGGTGGCAGTTCAAGTGAGTCTTTCTCTTTTCCAGGCCAAATCTGCTGCAGGCTATCTCGCGTCGGTGGTCTCGACGAAAGGGGACCCCGGATGCGGGATCGCGATAGCAAGGTCTCTGTATAGAATAGTGAAGGTCGCTGACTTTGGATTTCGCTTGCGCATTGTTTTAGGCCCGATCGGTGGGACAACCTGCCCGAGGCGGTGAAGGCGCAGCCAGGGTTGTACAACAACATCCTTACGTTCTCCGCGGGTCCTAGGGTGAGTGCTGCGGAGTGCTATGCGAGTTGTGAGTGACTGATGGCGATGCGGCTTGCTTTGTTGGCCTTTGTGTAGTCATGCATCGGGGTAAAGTTTTCGATAATCGAGATCAAGATGTTTATGTTTATTCTCGTCACGAACTTCAAATTCGCGGAATGCGACAAGGTCGGGAAGGCTAACGTGTACGTATTTGTCTTGCTCTATGCGATATAATAGAACATCGGGCTCACGTTTATTTGCTTCTAGTGTGCTGACACGCCCTTATATCATGGGCAAGCATCGGGAGGGCAGTCAATGTCCTTTGCTTGTTATCCCTTACACCCCAGAGACGCCCGCCTGAGGCGGTGTTTCCGCAGCCCTTTGAAGCTCTTCCTCTTGGCCTCAATGTATCTTTGGCTGCTCGCAAGCGCTTCTGCAGTTTGTATATAGTTCGACCTGGTGACATACTGTACATCCTGTATTCTATCCCTATAGCATCCCTATTCTTACACTCTAGGGCTGGTGCCAGGCAACACTACGACTAATGGCCGTATGTGGCCTTCAGCCTCTCCTTGACGTATTCCCCTGCAGTCACGACCTCGTATTTGGGTGGTCTGTCCGGCGAGACGCAGCTAGGGATAGGCTACAGAGGAGGTCAAATGCACAAGTCACTACGGCGCCGGTTATTCAACTTCTGACCTCTAGTCGCACGTGGTAGTCCGTGCCGAAGAACAGGGGGATGGAATACCGACGGACGCCGCTTCGGTTGACCGCTCGGTGGACAGTCGACTTGAAGACATCGTCTGCATTGTAGTTGCCGACTAAGCGGTGGAGATGAATTGAGAGGGAGACATACTCGTCCAGCGGGCGAACTGATCGCCGAGACTGCGCGGAGTCTATCAGTCGCATGCTCGTAGCTGCGAGAAACTCCGGGTTCTTACTTGACCACGAGCGTCCCAGGAATCGGAGGGGCGTCGATCCACTTGTTCTGTTTGTTCAGTACCTGAAGCGCCTGAATCTCTGGCTCTTGCCACAGAATGGTGAAGCACTGCGCATCCAGTAACCCTTGTGAGACCTCCTGCTGTGCTACAGACGGATAATTGACAGATACCTCCCAACTGTAGGTATGATTTGCAATACTTCAGGTCCGACCATCCACAGCGAAGCAAGGTTGTGAGACTTACTCGGTGTGTGCCCCGATCCCAATGACTCGGTCGTCCACAGGACCCGTCTGCGGAGGGTAGTGGAGAACCCTCATGAGCGCCGCAGCATTCTTCGTCTAGTGCAAGCCCAGAATCTCAGCCCGCAGTCCTAGTCCATACCTATCCAAATCCGATTCACCTTGTCATCGAAGAAATTCTCTGGCAGATTCAAGGCGAGCGCAAACAGGGGGAACAATTTCCGACCGAGGTTCACTGCGGCGTGACTGCGGAAATAAGTGCCAACGCCGATGGACCTTAGCTCCGCTACGCCGGAGTAGCATCCGCATGGTACCACCACTTACTAATACGTCAGAACCGATTCTCTGAATTCCAGGCAGTCCGACGGCCAGACGTTCGCTCCTGCCATCACGCCGTCATTCGCCCGCTTTTCGTCGTCGGGACGGGCGTCTATCTCTTCCCAACCAAATTCGAAGCCTTCGTGCATGTCTCCGTTGTTCTCGGGGTTGTTATTGCTGCTCAGGACGGGGTTGTACCCTTTAAAGTTCGCAGTCTTGGTCATGTCGAGCTATCCCCGCCGAGATTGAAGTCTAGGCTGCTGTTACCGCCGAATCGGGGTCTGACTCACCTCCAATTTCTTCTCTAGGGGGAGAGAGAAGAAGGATTTCGACGCCGTTAGGGCGTTTTCTATTATCGCGTTTGTTATCCCATGATTCTTCACTGCAAGAACCAGGGAATTAAGTGCTATCGGCGACATGACGCGATATTGTCTCGCTCTGACCTACCATAAAGAAATCCCACATTCATGCAAGCGTCCCGTATCTCATCTGCCAATGCTGCGCGAACCACCGGGTTGGAGCTGTCGATGTCTTTCAGGTCGCTGATACGCATTTGATGCAAGCAAATAATGAGTGATGTCTGCGGACTGCACGACTTATGAAATGGACTACACTATAGGTATGTTCCTGAACGCTTCCGCAGCCTCTGCTTCATGCGCAGCATGTACGAGAGACATATTGACGGAGGTTCCCGAACAGGGATGGGAGAAGACAAGGATGGCGGCGCGGCAGATTTGCCCGACCTGCGACACTAGGGCACCCCCGGGCCGGTCCGAGAGTCATTGACGCGTGATATCCGATAGTCACAGCCGAGTCACGCTAGTACACGGCGGCACCGCAGACTCGCACTGGCAGCCGATACCTGGAGAGCTGGATTGACTCTTACTGTGACCTTGTTCCATTGCGGTCCGCTGCTTCAGATACACTCGTGGAACCTCGTACCACTATCTTGAGGTTTGTTTTTACGGAGCGTTAGTCATCTCATGCTCAAGCCGCGCCCGAGCCATCCGCAGTGATTCTTAGGTCTCCTTGAGCAGTCGCCCACGACGCGGCGCAGCAGACGCTCCATGTGCTACGAAAAGTTAGTGATTCTCCTCTGCAACAGAGCGGTCAAAATGACTGCAGCCGACAGGCTTTGATACTTACGAACTAAAGGTACCGTACCGATCCACAAGGCCTTTGTCACAACGCAGTTCCGAAGGTGTTAGTGAGTTATGCGTCACCCCGAAGGAGAGCGGAGTTTGATTCCCGCTCTTTTTCTGTTTCATACCCCTGCTGTTTCTGGGAAAGAATTAGTTGGCGTCGTGACCGTCGTGCTGCCGCTCCGCCAAATGCACAGCTAATGTCTTCACGCTTGTGGGTTTCAAATGGCCCCGGTACACCGGACTGCCTAGCTTATCGAGCGACGCTGCACCTGGGAAAGTATAAAAGCCCTTTACCACCAGCATGGATTTTCAACGCCCTCACATCTTCGCCATCGTCGATACTGACCAGCTTATCTCCGACGTCATCATCTCCTCACTTCACACCATGTCTGACTTCGACCCCTCCGCTTCGTTGACCTCACTCGCTACCACAAACACCGGAGGTACTGCTACCCCGACTGCTTCAACCGCGCACCTCCTTCCTGCGGTGAGTGCCGTCCCATCCTTCGCGTTATTATTGCCTCATCTGCCTTCACCTGTAGCAGAGAGACGGCTCCAGTTCAGTCGCTCCCGGCAGCACCGCTTCCTCCTCCCAAACCCTCGCATCGAGCACGCACCTCACGACCGCTCCCCGGTCTCAAACGTATCCGTCGAGTTCTAACACGCCTCCCAAAGACTACGAAAAAGCATTTGCTACCCTGTCGAGTCAATGGGGGTGGGGAGGCACCGTATCGGCGAAGAACCCTAAGAGCGAAAAAGGCAAGAAGGAAAAGAAGGACAAGAAGGAAAAGAGGGACAAGAAGGACAAGAAAAAGGACAAGACGTAATGGCAGACGGCTCAGTCTCCCCACCCGCCAGTAGTGGCAGTACTCTCCTCTTCAACTCCGAGCCAAAGACTATAGCTGGCGCTCGTTTGGCTATTCGCGCGAACGGAAGAAGCAGGTATGTCCTATGTTATCGTCCGAGGATGCATTAGCGATGCCTAACTCAGTTCGCTCCCTCGTGTGTCTCTGGCCTGCCATCCACACAACTTCAGCAGGAGCGTACCAGTGTATCAGGCCTGGGGCGATATGTTAGTGACCGCCATATCCTCGGCCTTTGTCTGCGAGTCATATAATCCGGCTCGTCCCGAGGGTAACGATGTGGCGCCCTCCTTCCCCATTCTGACTCGGTTGTGTATATATGTGGCGCAATGTCAGCTTACAGAAGGGACGCCACTCTAATGAATGCGTATTCAAGTGCGCTCTCAGGCTCCTGGCCTTAGACCGAAACTTCATGATCAGCTGACATTGGGGGCCGTTATGGTCTCCTGATGAGTCCATGTGCGATTCAGGGATTCAGGTACATCAATTTTAATTGCCCAGACTCATGCTATGTCAAGCCGAAGTGTATCGACTATTGAACCCTGGGATGAGGGGAACAATTTGGCGCAGAGCCTGCGATCCGTCACAGCTTGGTGATGAGATCAGGGAGGAACATGGGATTGAGGTTCTTCAACAGTGACGCAACCCGCCAAAGCTTGAAGATGAAACGCCTGAAACTTGAGAGGGACGATCCAAAACCTCTTAATGTACGGCTGGACGAGTTCCCTGCGCCTAACCTAGACATACCGATTCAAGCAAAAGCTTCGCGGACCGGAAATGAGAATGTTTCATCGTAACTTGAATACGCTGAGGGCATCAATCAAATACCACGTTGGAAAGATGTTCGAGCGGCTATTAGTGCGGGGACAGCGCCAAACGTCGGTGGCGCGAACCCTGGGTCGAGGGCATCAGCGGCGGGGATAACCTCAGAGCCGTTCTTGGAAGGATCCGTACACAGGCTTCAGCACTGCCTTTCTGACCCTGGTACGAGGCTGGCATCTAACGACGGATCCTGCAGCGGTATGCATTGTTCCGACTGGGCAAAGGGCGAGGGAGGAGAGGCGAAACTCCTCCAACGATTGGCGGCTTCCACTGAACCTGAAGCTACTTCGATGTTGGGCGTTTGTCCCCATTGAGACGTTCCGATGGACTGCGACCAGGGGCGATGGTCGAGTCCCTCGATGGCGCAATGCAGATTCGATTGTGTGTGTTCAGCTAGATCATTACAGTTTGCTTTCCTGACTTCTTACATGTCATCTAGTCGACTTCCGACCGCTCGATTGTAGCTCTCGATGCGACTACCGCACCTTGTAGATCTGTACGACCACATCCCCCGCCCCGGCGTCCGCGTCCGGCTCTCTAACGGAGAAGTGGATCTCGACGTCCAGCTCGCGCGAGTTGTCCGTGCTCTTCTTGCACTTGAACATCCCCTCGACCACAGTGCCTGCCACCCACTCCGTCAGTGATCCACAGTCATAGAATTGAGTGGAATACCCACCGTCCGCGACGCTGATGGGCTCGCGCAAGAAGAAGATGGTCTGCTTCCAGTGGGTCGGCATCGACGCCGGGCCCGTGCTGAAGCTCGTTACCTTCGGGCGGCCCGTCAGGCCCCCGCCCGTGCTCATCCGCCGCCCCTGGTATGGACGTCCCCCAAGCGGCCATACCTCCGCAAGGATTGGGTCGCCCTCGTGGATAACGTAGGCCTCGACGTCGTCCGGGATCGGGGCACCGGTGTTCGTGAAGAAGGTGTCGAAGTAGAGGACGAAGGCGTGGACTTTGATACGGCGCTCGGAGGTGGAGACAAGCTTGAATGGGGAAGAAAAGTCGAGTTGCTTCGGGGTTATGCTACCTAGATATAGGTCCTTGGGGTATACAATCAGGTCAGTGTCAAAGATACCCCGGTTGCAGACGAAAGGGGGTAGCACCTTGACTTCAACCGGCTGGCTAACGACCGTATCGGGCCCAACAACGTCGACCACGGCATCATCGTAGACGTGGGAACCCATCTCCGACAAATCGAAACCTGCCGTACGGTCAGCACTTGTAGTCGAGAGGAAAGAGCCGAGAATATCGCACCGTAAACATCATTCCAAAAGCCTATGCGCTCCTTGAACAGCTCGCTGGCTTCGCACAGGGCGAACATCATCTTGGTCTGGCTGGGAGCCATGACCCCGCCATCCTTCAAGAAGCGGTCGCGTGCATGGAGTACGGAGTCGAGCATCGACTCGTACAGCAACGCATATCCCATCCATTCGGATACGATGATGTCGACCTTGTCGAAGCCTTCGGGAAGCTTGATGTTCTCGACCTTGCCGCGGATGACGCTATCGTATCCCTACATCAGCTTGTGCGCAGGGATCGAAGGAGGGAGAAAAAATCGCCTACGTGATGACATTGTCTAACCCGTTGGCCTTCACAATCTTCTCGGCTTTCTCAGCGATGTCGCTCGCGTCGATGGCAAAGACACGCTTCGCTCCCGCGCTTGCGGCGAACAACGACAGAATGCCAGTCCCACAACCTACGTCCATAACGACGGCATCGCGGAACAGCTCCGGGTTCGACAGGATGAACTTCGCGTACGACGCCGTTCGAACCTTATCGTTGATCATAACGGAGTGGATATCTGTGTCCAATGTCAGAAATCCACGTACACTTAATGAGGCATTCGTCCCCACCGTTCTCGGCATAGCTCTGGAAGTAATGCGAGTCATCATCGCGCAATGGTACGGCGACGTGGCTCGCCGAAGAAGTACCCTCGCCCTTCTGGAGCTCGTCGGCGAGACCTGCCAAATTCAGACGTTCGCTGACGAACTGGTGGTAGTAGACGAGGTCTTGCGTCGCCTGCTGAAGTTTTCGTTGGAGCGCCTTGATCTGGCGCTTGGCCGTATCAAGATCCTTGGGTTCTTCGAGTGTGCCCTGCTCGGCCTCTTCATCCGAGTCTGACCAATCGTCTGGTTCAATTTCTGCGGATTGATAGATGTCAGGGTCCCAAGAAAAGGCCCTAGTAGAATGCACATACGGAGTAAGGGGTCATCTTCTATACTTGGCTTGAGGTACTCATCTTCGGTGAAGAAAGGTTCGGAGCCGGTCAGGTTCGCAACCTCAGACGAAGATGGATGCTGTGCAATGTCAGTGATTGTTGATCGACGTTGCTTCAGTATGTCATACCTCCTTCCTTATCCAGTTGATGAGACGGATGCGTTTGTACGGATCTAGTCCTAGCGTCCGGCTGGGGTTAGCTAGTTTCATTCCCCAAGTATGGACCAGGTCTTACTCAGTCTCGCTGTGATTTCTTTGAGGCTAGAGCCGTGAGTGGTTTCATCGTAGGCCAAGGCCTCTTGTACGGTGTCAAACGTCCTATTTTCGAATAGGGACTTGCAAGGGCGCTTAGAGAGGGAGTCCGAGACCCAATCGTCCCAAGTCAGATCCTCATCCTCGTCTTCTGAGCTGGACTCGCCGGGATGAGTCTCTGAGTATTCGGGATCGGAACTCTCTTCTTGGTTGGTGATATGAGTGGCGGAAAATCTGAGCGCCATTACCAGGATCTGGTAGATGCTTTAGCGATCAGATGCGACTAAACTAAAATTTCACTTACATTGGTAGGAGTACAGACTGTGCTCTTACAGGGGAGATGGATGGAGAGGAAGTGACGTACTATCTGAACTTGCACACGGGAGGAGGCGAGATCGGAGAGAGAGCCCGTCCAGCCACAGCGGAGCCATCGGAGTTCCATGGCAATTCTACTCTCTAGCGGTGGAAAATTGCGTCGGCGCTTGTCGGAGTTGCAGTGTGTATAGGAGGAGGGATTCGAGCTCGTTCGACGCTCTTCCCTCATCAGGCTCGGCTGCTTGCTAGAATCTCTATCTTGGACAACCTTGTCAGATTCCGTGCGGGTGCTGCATTGAGGTGAATCAATCTGTACGCGCAACCGGACATCCTCAGCTAGATTACTAATATAAGGCTTTCTCCCACTACATAACCATTGAATCGTACCCTTAGCCGGGAAAACCTATGGCTCATTCCCCTCTCATCGGCTCCATACTTGAGAGGAAACCTTTCTCCAAGCCATCAGCCCCATCAGAGGCTACAACGAAGACAGGGTTTCCAGCTGTCCAACATCGGTCGCAAAGAGCGTTTGCTCGTGCACGGGGCCAGCCACAAAAACGAGCTCGTGATGTCCCAGTGGTACAGTCATCTAATGTCGTCCCGCCTCCTCGACCGGTTTCTACGAGCCCTTTCGAAGAGAATGACTGGCGCGTTCAGATAGAAGAGGAGAATAGACGTCGAGTGGAAGCGATGACAGAAGAGGAGAGGGAGCAGGAGAAGGTGGAGATATTTGAGAAATTTGGGCCAAGTATTGCAGAGGTGCTGAGGAGAGCTCGAGAGGCGAGAGAGTCGAAGCAAAAGAAGAGCGAAGGAGAGAAGGTCGGTACAGAACCATCGTCTTCAAATACTCCTGCTTCTGCCAAGACTGGAGGCGAGGAGGCTGGCACAAGTCTTTCACCACCTTCATCTCCTTCGCGTCCCCGTTCCGAACGAACCAGGTCCCTCAGTATGTATATTAGCTCGTGCCCAATAAAACCATTTGTGACCACTGATCTAGCAAGCGTCCTGCGATCTTCGTCTCCGTCCCCGACATCCTCAAGCAGCACACGGCCTCCCAGTCGCTCCGGACGCAAGATACGGTTCGCCGATGTGACTCTCAGCGACATCCATGTCTACGAATCAGCACCGCCTTCCCCGCGGAAGAAAGCCCTGGCGTTGCCTCCGCCGTCCGCCAGCGACGACCAAGTTGTTTCGCTTGGAACGTGGAAGCCACCCGCACAGTTCCGTTCACCTGTCGTGCCGCTAGCTGCATCCCTGGAGGCTGAGTCGGAGGCATCTCAGGAAGTAGCCGGTAAAGTAGGAGCGCTTGAGGAAGGAACGCCAGAAGACATCCGGCGGCGATTCTTCCCCACCGCTCCCGCAAACGACCCATCATTGGAGTGGATGCGAGGAACAGGAACTGCGGAGCGGGAGCCCGAAACCGAGTCTTCCACGCCTACCATCCGTTTCGATCTTACCGGCACACCCATCCCTGCTCATCTGTCTAACTCTCTGCCGACCCACCTCGGTCTGCACCACCATGCTGAAGGGTCTCATGCTGGATACACACTTGAGGATATCTTCCTCCTCTCTCGGTCCACCGTTCCTGCTCAGCGCGCGTCTATGCTTGGCGTGCTCGCCAAGATCGCCCATAAACTCGCTCGAACATCTGTCGACAAGAAGAAAGGCATTCCTGAGCTAGTAGGGCAGGAGATCGCCCTACGCAAACGGTTGCTCGCCGCTGGCGCAGAAGCTATCGGCGAACGGGCAAGCGTCGGCGCTCGGGCAGTCGAACTTCTATGGGAGTGCACATCGCAATGGGACGAGGATCTCAAATCTGTCGATGGCGTTGAGACGAAGGACCTGGATCGAGGAGAAGCGCTGTCGTCCCTTCCACTGGACTACCTTTTACCCCAGATCGCGAACGCGCTGTCCGTCGCGGAGTTGCCTCACGAGAGCCTCTTACAGCTCCTTGCTGTCCTCCATCGACTCGCGCAACACTCAAACAGCATCGCGACGGAGATCGTGAAGACCAAGAATCTCATTCCTAGCATATTTCAGCGGTTCCTCCTCACACCCATCCCCCCTACCGACGACTCGCCCTTTCCGAACCCCCTCGCGCTGAAGTTCTTGTGTCTCCTTGCAGCGTCCTCTCGCGAAAACGCGAGCGCTCTGGTCGATCCTGCGGATTCCCTCCTACGCTTCGTGATTACCCTGCCCACATCGTCCCCGTACCCCCTTCCTCTAGCGACGCAACTGCTATCGGAGACACTCATTTTCTACGCTACGTTGGCGTCGTACGGCTTCTACGCGCACGTCACAACCACAGCACAGGAGTACTTCCTACAAATAAGCAAGTACATCCGATCCGCCGACTGCCAGTCCTCCCAGCTTCGAGGCGCCTGGCTACGAGCATTGGAAGCATGGACCGTATGCGCGCGCGATCCCCACCGCACGACGCCGAGCCACGAAGTTCTTTGGAGCCAAGTCGTGGGATGGGGTTGGGCGGAGGACATGCTGGAGCTGCGCACCCAGCTGAACACTTCAGATGAGGAGACGTGGGCAAGATTATGGAGCGCACTAGCCGCCTTCTTGGAAGGCGCAAAGGTCAATGGGGTTCGAGGAGGCGAGGAAGAGAGAGCTCTGGTCCTTGGTGCACTCAAGGACGACTTCGCCTTCGGAACGCAGAAACAAGTCGTCGAACTCGCTCTGAAATGGGCTCGCGAAGCACTCGGGAAGCTGAGTGCTGGGATGCGCCAAGGCATCCTTGCCTCGGATGTCCCCTCGTTGCGCGATGTGGATCGACATGCGGGCACGCTTGCCTCTGCGATGCGCCTCTTCCTTTCATGCTTCTCCGAGTCACCTGGAGACACCTTGATCGCACCGCCTTTCAATCTCCCTTTTGGCGATCTGTCGAGTGTCTGTGCCGTGATCACGACACATCCGCTTTGGACGTCTCTGTACACCTCACAGTCTATTCCTTATGGTCACCTGCTCTGCAGACCGCTGTCTACGCTACTCGCATCCTACCTGCAGCTCTCGCGCAAGATCCCAGGAACGTCGCCAGATTTTTGGATGGCTCAGGGCTTCGCGATTCTTTGCCGCCTGTTCCCTGGAGACGAGGCAGTCGGGGAACGCACGGTAGTCGACATCGCGGAGACCATCACGGCAGACTTCTTGCGAGCGCGCGGGTGGTCTGTGCCCGAGGATATCTGGGAGAAAGGTGGAATGGACGTCATCGTACCTTTCCTGACTCAATCGCTGCGAGCGAAAGGAGAGCAGGTCATCGGTCCGACGTGGTCAACCCCGCAGTCCATCGCCACCGCGACGACTCAACGCCTCCCGCCACTATCCTCTCTGCAGCCAAATGACCAGCGCGACTACCCATTGCCACTGACGAAGGACTGGATGTTCTGCCCGCTTGACCACCTACTCAAGTCAGGTGAATCAGAAGTATTCAAGAACCTGCCAGACTCGTGGAACGCTTCCGAAGCGGAGGTTGTGCGCGCCACACTCCTGTTCGTCCGAGTCAGCCAAGAGGTCCTGCGCTACCACCGGCTTAATGACTTCCTCATGAGCCGCGAAGAGGTCGCGTTCGGGTGTATGAAGGTTTTCATGCTCGAGCACGGCCAGCAGCAGGACGATTCCTCCGAAGAGGTCTTCCGCGACACCATCGTCGGCCGTCTCATGACCGAGCTCCTCGCGCCGTTCTCCGCCTCCGCTTCCGCAAAGACGCTCAAGACCCCGCCGCCGTCGATCCACACGTCTGATAGCATCGACGTCGTCGCGAAGCGCTTCCTTGGGAACGCCGTGCCGTTCTACCAATGGTACACGGACTTCGTCGGGCTCTACGACGCAATCTCGTTCGCACACCCGCTCTTTGCACGTCTGCTCCTTCCGCCGCTGTCCATGCGCTATCCCGCTGACTACCGCAAGTACCTCTGGGCGGACTTCAATCACGTCTTGCGCACGATCCGCACTGCACCAGAGGACGTCGTGACGGGCAGCATCGCCGAGTACCTCTGGCCGGTGGAGACCGACGCGGAGGTCGTGGGCGCGTACTTACGTGCACTGGTAAAGGGTTCTTTGGAGGGCTTCGTCAGGCTCGTTGCGGTCCATCACATTGCGTGCAATATCTGGCCGGATCTAGGCTCCGTAGGAGAGGAAAGGACGAAGAAGCTCTTGAAGGCGGTGCTTGTTCAAGGGGGACTCGAGGCGATCCGGGATGTTGTGCTGTACCGCCAGAACAGGGAAGGCACTGTTGTACTCCCTCCAGCTTGCTTCGAGCAGCCCGGGAAGTGGAGGGCGCAGAGACTTGACTTCGCGGGAAAGAGTGGTGAGGACGTCAGAGAGAGGCTGACGAACTTGTTAGAAGGCAAGGCAAATTAGTAGAAGTTCATGACTTATGTATTATGCTGTGTTCGTCAACGCGATGTCTGTAGCTTTTAGCATTAACCCTGAAACCCGCATAATGTTAGCTACCAAGCAAGTCCGTGTGCAGCTGGTGCATATCACCAGCTGGGAAGAGTACCCGCTGGTCTCAACGCAGAAACCAATGCAAAAGTAACGAACAGTCTCCTTCAAACTTCGCAGACCGAGGAGACGAAATTCAATGTCATCAGCAAAAATGTCGAAGCACTGTAACACAGGTTGTATTGGCAATGTAAGGGATGGCTATATATACTTTCATTGTAACGCTAGTCTTGACGAGATAGGCGGTCTAATGGCGTTAGATATGAGAGCTTATTTTTTGTGATCATCATAGTATATCGGGCCGTCATCACATTCAATAAGCTTGCACTGGAACTCATGGGCACGCTCGGCCAGGGATTATCATGTGAGCCAGGAGTTCCCATGCCAATACCATTGTATGGATGGTCGGGGATGGCGTTGACAATGCAGGTTTGTTGCAGGCACACATTCTGACCACTGGGCACATTTTCGCACACGAAAAGATATGATTAATAATATTCATTCAGGGCAAGTATGATAAAACAGCAGTGAGAGCGGCGGACAGCCATGAGGTGCAAGCGAGAGAGGATGAAGGTCAGACACAGAGGG